CATTGCTTAATTCTTGAAGTGTACTTTGCATTTATTAACTTGCAGCTGTACTCAGACTCCCAACCCACCATGGAGTGAGGGCCATCCTATGGAGCATTCGGTCACAGGATTCTCTAGAACTTACTGAAACCCTCGGTCTGATTGTCTGCTCCTTTGCCTCCACTTTGTATCTGAGGAAACACCGCCCCAGCCAAAGGCCTTGCCAAGGCTACTGGAACCAGGACTGAAAGCAAATGTTTCCCAATTCAGTGTTATTTCCACTCCACAATCCTCCTTTCGTTTTAAAGCTGCTATGTTATTTGTATAGTTTTAATGGCTCTTCACATAAGAGGATATGTGTATTTGGGCTTATACATTTACATTCAAAATCATTTTCCATTCACTCACTGGACTTGATAAGGAAGCCATCCCATTCTTTGGGATGTTACCACTGGGATGGGCAACAAGCGTGGCATTTATATCAGAATGGAATTGTGGGTGGAGAAAAGGGAACTTCAGAGCTTTGAGAAATGTTTGTATTTCTTACAAAAGTAATTCTAGAGCAAGAGAACCTTAACTTAGAGGAAAACGTAAGTTGCCTTGGGCTTCGGGTACTTACAGTAGAGAGAAATGCCTTAAGAATTCTCTCATCTGTTTTCTTCATTAGTAATTCCACTGAATTCCCTGGTTTTAACTATCACCTCCAGAAAAAAAAAAGAATCCAAAATTGTACTTTCAACTATCATTTCTTAAGTATGCAGCTCCTTTTTCCAACTATCCCCTGGACATGTTGTCTAGGACCCCCCACCCCACCCCAGGCTCAAATACACAAGGTCCACAGGGAAATCTTTGTCTCCACACTGCTCATACCCACACACTGGTAGTTCCTGTATTACCAATTACCATTCCGTCTATCATCATCATCATCGTCATCATCCTTATCCTAGGAGACAGTAATCATGGTGCCAGCTCTTCTCACCAGCTCCCATTGCCAATCTCTACTGCTTTACCTGTACCTGCCATTTGGGCCCACACCTGTCTCGTTACCTGTTGACACCCACTGCTCCTGTGCCAATAGGCTCCCTTTTATATTCTTTTCTCTAGCTCTTCTCTCAATCTGAAAACCCCTTTCACCATTCTATGACCATATCTTATGTCAACAATGTACTCAAATGCCAGTTTCACATATCCTTCCTGATCCATTCAGGCAGAAGTATTACTGGCTACCCTGAATTTCCAAAGACCTTATCCTTTACCTTTCTTATGGAGCATTACTTGTTACTTAATAAAAGTAGTACTTGTTGAGCATATATTGTGTATCAGGCATATATATACATAAGAACTTTATATACATTTTCATTGAATCCTCTCAGCAGCCCTATAAGACCTAAAGGGCCTCTACCCCAGAGGTCCCTGTTTAATTGGCTTTGGGTACAGTTGAACATGGGGACTTTTAAGACTCCCTGGTGATTCCACTGTGTGGCAGATTGAGAACCACGGGTGTAACTCCAAACCCATTAGCCACCTATTCTCCAGTAGGACGTATCACATTTGGAGCTTTAAAACAAATGCTGGACTCCAGCCCAGTCCCAACAAACTTGAATCCCTGGGGGATAGAGCCCGGAATCCACATGTTAGCAAAGCTTCACAGGTGATTCTGCCACATAACCAGGAGGAGAACTACTCTCTCGCTCAGTCACTGTGTCATCTCCCAATGTTGCTAGACTACAGGTGATTACATACGTCTACTCCACTTTGTAGTCCATACACTCTTTGAGGAAAGGTTTACATTTGATTCATCTTGGTCTATTCCCTGGCACATAGCAAGAGCCTTTGTACATAATATGTTTTAGAAACTTAAAAATAAAATAAAATAAATGCCCTTTGCTGATCTTATTATGAAAACAATGAGCACCTTAATGGAATACTTATCCTCTTCATGGGACTAGGTTTTAATCTCTACTACACCAGCCTGGGAATGAAGCAAGTCATTGCAGTGCTCTGAGCATGGCAGCTGCGTGGCTGTGCGGAGTCAGAGCCAGGGCTGGAACCCAGACGCCTTCCTCTGCATCTCCTGCCTTAAACGCAACTGCCAAGTGAAACAACAGTCTACGTGTTTGGATAGATGCTGTCACACATGTTTCTACAATTTGAACATAACCTGTCACATGGGGCGGGAGGGGAACTGTTGGCATCATGAAATAGATTTGGAAAAACATATCAATTTAAGACCAAAAAGCTAATTATGTGACCTAACATACTCAGTCCCATCCTCCCTTACCCCAAGATGCACATATGAACAAACCCACCCTCTGATGGTTCTTTGACATTTCTTGACAACTATTTAATTACTACATTAGTAAGTTTCTTAGTTTTCTTTTTCCTCTTCTTAATTTGTGCTATTTCTCAGACTTTCCAAATAACCTGAGCTTCTGGTTATAAGTGAAGTCTATTTAAAGGTTTATATACAGATTACTGAAGGCAGTAAATTGTCATGTTCCATTCAATATGAATATGCACATCAAATGTATATGGGGATAAAAGGGAAATGACACACAAGACCTAGAAACCGGATTTAGGCTCTTTTTTGCCATTTCCAAGTCATGTAATTCTACACGGGAATGAACTTTCCAGAATCTCTTTCCTCACCTAAAAAAATGGAAGGGAAAAGGACCTAAAATAGACCCTCCAAAATTTTCTTCCAAATATTATTATTTTAGAGGGTCATAAATTTTCATAATTCATTACCAGGCTTTTGGTCAAGATTAAATTAATAATTGCTTCTTATCCTTATTATCTAGTTGATTTTTTAAAGGCGAAGAGAATCATAGTGAAATTTGCAGACTTCCTTACAATTTAGAGAGTGTTCCCCTCCATTATCTCCTTTGGTTTTTATAACATAACTGCAGACTAGTTATTATGCCCATTTCACAGAAAATGAAATTCAGATGCAGAGAATTGACCCGCCCAGGGTAATGAAATGAGAAAATGGCAAATCTAGACGCGACTGGACCCAACTGTGATCCCCAGCGACACCTGACGGCCACCGGCAAAGCTGGAGATGGAGGCCCGGGAGATCTGACATGCAGACAGCTCAGCCCAGTAGCCTGTCTGTCTCCCAAAATGTTTTCCAGCCCAGACACCTATAAATCACTTTCAAATAGAATACCAAGCAGGGATTTATTTAGCATATCATTTCTGGGTGTGTGTTTTCCTGCGCATTTATAGATCTGTGTTTTTCCAAGCTGAGTGTTCCTGATAGTGCAAGACAGATAATGATAAATGAGCATCTATGTGAGCCTGGCTGGGAGGAGGACCAGGAACTGTTGACACCCCTCCTGTGAAGTTAATCCCATTTCTTTTAGCTGTTTCTTTATTAGTTAATGAGGTCTGGCCAAAAAAAAATGTGTCTGTGATGGTGTGTTAGCATCCTTGCCTCTAGGTACATTTTCAAGTATTCATAAAGTAGCTCGTCCGACCAAAGCTTAAAGCAAAGGTGCATTAAGTATGAATTTAGTTAACTTCAAATGCGGGTGGTCGAAAAACTGCTCCTGAAATAACCTAAATAATCCTCCTCATTGGCGTTTCCAGATGGGCGGCTCTGGGTGCAACGTGAAGGGGGACAGGGAAGAGGGAGGGTGCAGAACAGCCTGGACTCGCAGGGCAGCCGGAAGCTTTGATCCTGCCCCTGGCTGACAGCTGTGTGGCTGACTTTGGGAAACTGAATAACTTAAGGGAAACAAAAACAAAATGAGAAAGGAATTACCAGTCAAACCCCTGGAAAGGAGAGCAGACACTAGATCTTAGTGCTCCTGGGAGGCCAGAGACCGCTTCCCACCTCGGTTCCTTATGGCCAAGAGGGAAAAGGAAAAATCTCAAAAGGGATGCACTTGGAAAGGCAAGCCAACTGTGAAGCTTGGTTAGCCGCTGCCCTGAGCCCCGGGTCCAGTGCATCGCAGCGATGACCTCTACGACCTGGCTCTAGAAGGCCGCACTGCACACTGCGGCAGAGTCCTAGGGACACAGCTAGCGCGCGCACACGCACACACACACACACACACACACAGTCTTCACCCCCTCCACACACACACCCAACTTCCATCATTCCAAAGCACAGCCACATAAATCCTTCCCACTTTCCATCCTTTCATGATTTTGTTTCCCCAAAACATAATTAATGAAGTTAACATTGTGGCTCTTCTACATACAGTTTATAAGCAAAGGAATTTTTTCAAGAGATGCCTTCTGTTTGGTTCTAGTGGCCTGGGCTACCTGGTGTGTATTTGGGCTAACAAACTGCAAATCATAGCCCAACATTCTCCTTCCTGTTTCTGCATCAGTGACCAAAAGGAGCCCCCTAATTGGTGGGAGTCTTCCTAACCCTTCGTCAGGAGGAGATCGAGAAACAAGGAAGGAAAGAAGGACCAAATCTTCCGACCTCCAACCTTATGGGCACGGCAGCAAATCGCAGTGTTACTGGTTATTCAGTGTTACCTCTGAATATCTGTGCACAAAGGGGTGCATTCATGTCATCCCCACTGTCTTTCATTCATGGAGTCTTTGGCCTTTTGCGATATCAACCCCAAATGAAGGAAAGCTGAGCCACACTTCTGAAAGGAGTTGGCCACGTAATCCCACTCGGTGTGGATTTGGAGAGAAACAGACACCATCCATTAACAAGGGCTGGTCATGCAAATGTCTCCTTCACAGCTCAGTGTTCAACTTTCTGGTCATTTTAGCTGGTTTACGAACTTCCTCTAAATGTAAAAAAAAAAGTGCCTGAAAAATAGCAACAGCATAGCATAATAATAATGCTGCGTTGGGACATGCTCAGAGTATAATATTTCTCTATTGTCGCCTGCCTTGAGGACACAGAAGGCACTTCGACAGCCATTATGATTACAAAAGGTACAAGCTAATATTGGCTGTGCCAGATGTAATTTTGCATTTCTCTCAAAAGAAACACTGTTACGTCCCAGCTGTAAACATGACTGTGTGCTGTGCTCGCTGTTCTGTTACAGGTGATCCACATAACAGGTCGGCTACGGCTGCGGGTGTCGCTGTCCCACGGGAGGACCATCCCCAGCCAGATCATGGGTCTTGTGGTCGTGGCGCATGCCTTGCCTCCCCCTACAATCAATGAAGTCAGAATCGACTGCCATATGTTCGTCACTCGAGTAAATATGGACCTCAATATCATTTACTGTGAAAATAGGTACTTGGTTTTTGTTTCCGTTTGCCCTGCTGTATGTTGCACATGGGTGAGGGTTGGTGTTTTCAGCAGGCTGCAGGATTTTACTCTCCCAATGAGGCTCATTATAAATCCTGATCTTATTTCTAATGGATGCTTGGACTGACACCAAACATGATTTTTATTTTAAATTTCCATTGCTGCCCTGATTTGCATTAGGGATAACAATGGAATGAATTGGGATACCCAGACATCCATGTGCTATAAGTAAAGCCCATTTTGCCCAAAAAATCCAAGGAGAGAGCAAGACTGAGACATTATTGGGAAAATGATGCAGGAAAGGGTGCTCAGGGGTGATGCCTCAGCCAGACCCTCTTCCTGACTCCTGCAGGGCCCAGCCTCGTGATGGTCAGTGTTCACACAGGCAGGCATTAAGCGCGGTGCCTTAATCAGCTCAGGCTGCTATAACAAATCACCATAGCCCGGCAGCCTGAACAACAGACGGGTATTTCTCACAGATCTGGAGGCTGGGAAGGCCAAGGTCCAGGTGCAGGCTGCTTAGATTCCTGGTGAGAGCCCTCTTCCTGCTGCCTTCTGCTGTCCTCACGCAGGGAGACAGAGCTGTAGGCTCTTCTCTGTATAAGGACTCAAATTCCATCGCAGGGGCTCTATCCCCATGAACTCATCTAAACTCATCTAAACCAAAGGTCCTACCTCCTAATACCATCACATTGAGGGGAAGGGCTGTAATATATGAATTTGGGGGGGAGACACAAACGTTTAGTCCACACAGCACATATACAGAACCAATGAGAATCAGAGCCCTCTAGAGGAAAAAAGGACCAAGATATTGAACCTGATATCGGTCATCAGACTGGTCTGGGCTTTCTACACATGTATTAAATAAAATTTGTAATTCTCACTTTCATAAATTAAAAAATAAGATGACTCATTGTGTGAATAACTTGCCAGTCCTTCCTCAGGATTGAGCTTTTATAAAAGGATTTCTTGGCCTTTGGTTAAAAGTTCGCTTTTTCCATTAAGCACAAAGCGAGGGACAAGGAAATGGGACAATGCCCCTTCAGACCTTTCACCTAGAAGTCACCAGCCCTCAGACTAATGTAAAGAGGAGAGGTTGATGGGATGTGGGGAGCAGGGAACGGAGCAGTGCAGGGGCTGCTGAGGGGGCTGTGGTGATGCTGTCCCTCCCCGGTGCTATGGGAAGAATTACAGTCAGTTTTGAGAAGATGCTTTTGTGGCTCAGTGTTGTCAGCTATGGATACAGTATATGCTCACTGAGCCCTGTGAGTGCCTAGGAGGAAAAATGAAAAAGCAGAACGGCCAAGTGGCTTGGTAATTGACCTCCTCATGGCTGAGCCAAGAGGCAGGCAGACAGCATTGCATTCAGTCCGTTGGGAAGTGAAAGGTGTTGTGGCTGAGTTAGAAATGCCTACCATTTCCTGTCAGGATTTGATTCAGAGAAAAGAATTCACCAATGGGAGACATACCCGCCTGCCTCTTAATGTTCGGTGGGGTAGAAAATATCACGAAACTGGCGCTATTATTTAATAAGTAACTCTAAATCTATGTTTTAAGCTTTTGGTGGCATTTAGTAAAAATTGTATCATCATGACTGTATAGTTGGCTATATCTAAGGTATTCTGGAATGGCCACAGGAAATCAGAAAGGACATTTAGCCAAATGATTGCCTAGAGTTGGCAAGTAATAATAAAGATGACTAACATTGATTGAACACTTACTACACACTTGGCAATGTGCAGAGCTCATTATAAGAGTGGGGCAAAAGTAGGTTTATAGTTGTGAGTACATGAAACACAGTTTATTCTTGTATTATTCTTTAATAATTACTGTATTATTTTCCATCTGAACAACTGTAAGCCTACTTTTGCCCCACTCTGTATGCACCATCTAACTCAAGTTTCTGGATAGTTCTGTGAGGCAGGTCTTGCCATTGTCTCAATCCCCTTAGGTGATTTCAGGTGAAAGAGAAAGGTTAAGTGAGTTACCTGAGGCCAAGATTTAAACCCAAATCTGACGGATTCAGAAACCTCTCACTTAGCAACATCCTGTGGGGCCTCCCTGCATTCCCTGTCTCTTATTTTTCCTCAGAAGTCAGGCCAGATGGTAAGGAACTGGTCATAATAACTGCCTAGGTGGACCTTTCACACATGTGCACCCACGAAAAACAGCCACAGCCCATAGAGCTATTTATCCTGGTTTAAAATGTAGAATACTGGAGACCCAGGAGGCAGAAAGTCAAAGGATGAGCTATGGTATTGCTTCTTTGAAAACATAGGTCAGCTCCCTTGATTTAGGTTACCAACACCAATCCCTAAAAAAAGGGGGGGTGAGGGTGGGGGGTGGGGAGTCTTGGCTTATTTCCCTAACATTTACCCAGTGATTGTCCTATCCCAAAACTAGCACTTAATTTTCATGAGATCACAGACTAATTCTTTTGACATGCTCCACAGAACCAAGTGCCTTATGGTGCCACTCTAGTAATTGAGATTACATTCTGTAACCACTTTAAGCTATTTTTTCTTCCCATTTAAATAAAGTTTTCTACAACCCCTTATTAGCCAATACAATACAGCATTATTTCCTAACTGAAGATGATAGTAATTATTAAAAAGACCTATGTGGAGGTAATTGTATATTTGACCTACGGGAGAAGCGTACAGACAGCTGCCTTCTGCTATTGCATCTTGTATTCTGATGCAAATGTGTGTCCGGTGCAATGCTGTGTTCATTTCATTCATTCAACCCCTCACCAGCCTCTTAGCTATTTTACAGATGAGGGAACTGAGGCTCAGAGTACAAGATGCCAGGGGGACCTGGTTCTCATAGAGGTCATCAGACTGTCCTGGGCTTCCACTACATATAGGAAGAGGTCGCTGAACACCGAGCTGGTCACATTCACCTCAGTAACAGGCTCGGGTACCAAGAAGTGGTTCTATTGTTTGGAAGGATTTCATTCAAATAAAAAATAAGCTAAAGAAATGTCTTCCCTAAAGAATGAAGTGGATTTTTTCCTGGGTTTGTTGTTTAATCAGGGAATTGCTAACTAGAAACTAAAGCCAATCCCTGACTCTACAGACCATCCCCCCCGCCCCTCAGCCCCCCGTTGTTCCCCAGGGTTCCCCGGGACAGCCTCCGGCAAAGCTGACATCTAATGCTTTCAGAGGAGCTGGCAAACTTCAGAAACACCAATGAGGGCCTTTTAATGACATCCTTGTTCCCTCATTTGCAGAAAGGGGGTGTAAAGAGTGCGGGGGAAGCAGCTAATGGTTTCAGGAAAACACCGACTAATCTGTTTTGTACCAGAAAACAGAGGAATCCTGAGGAAATACTCCTTTTTATCACCCCATTTAGTCTTATCTTGCCAAGAATTCTAGGTTTGCCAAATATGATTTATATTGCTAGACATTGAGACATTCACTCACTGTGTAGTATGTTTTAATTATACTCCATATTATCCTGTTTTTGTTTTATTTCTTATTTCCCTGCCTTGGGAGTCAGAGTTAACTCCCCAGCAGTGATCTCATGAGTTTCTTAAACATGTCATTTCTAAAGACTCACTTCGTATTTGAATACATTATAAGTCACAGACCAGAAAACACGCAGGGACATTAAAGAGAATAAATTAAACAAAAGACGTATTTTATTTTGGACTGACCAGAATGAGTCTGCGCTTGGGAAGGGAGGAGGATAAGCATTTTGACGTGTTTGTGTAAACCAGGCAGATTCTCCCAACATGTTTTCCGATTCTGTGCTCTTTTCCTGCGCTCCTGCCCGAGGACACGGGCGTCTGGGCATCAATGGCACGGGCTCACACACACGTAATGCCGAGCACAAGGCTGGCAGAGCCGCTGAAATGGTTTCAAGTTTCTGTGTGGACTCCACCACAAAGTACCAGTTAAAAGGGCCAGGAGCGAAAGCCGGGTTCCCAGATGACTAAGACTAAAAAAGATAATACCCTCAGGCATCTGTATGTCTCGGAATTAAAATTCTAGCCCTTGAAATGCCAATTTGCACTTTGTGCCAAGAAGCAGTTGAAGCCCTTTTGCATGGAAATACCCACTAGAAGACCAATCTGTTTAAATGAAAGGTGTCTCTAATCATTTGGTATAAACATAACATGTTTTTATTTTATTATGTAACCTTGAATTATCTTGGCTTCTAATGAGAATCTTTCATTGTTCCTGATTCTCAATAATTTCATGGAATTATGTTGTCTAAATGTGCATTCTGATGCAAAAAAGAAAAAAAGAAAGAAAGAACCTATCTAATTATTTAAACACAATTGCTTGATCTAGCACATTTTCTAGTTTAGAAAATGTTATTCATTAAAGAAATAACCTTATGTACAAAGAGTTTTCCCTCAAAGTGCCAAATCCTCCCAGGTACCCTGGGATAATGAAAATCGCCAGTAGGTTTGTTTCTAAGACATCTGACAGTTTCTGTATTTCCTCCCCTTCTGAATTCCAGTCTGTTGTTCTTCTTGTAGGATCAGTGATTACATGGATCTGACCCCTGTAGATATTGTGGGGAAGAGATGCTACCACTTCATCCACGCGGAGGACGTGGAGGGCATCCGGCACAGTCACTTGGACTGTAAGTACCTCTCGTGCGTGTGTGGGCACAAGCTGGCGAGTTTTGCCTCTCTGATGCCTGTTTGGTTTCAGTGCCGATTTCTTCCTTCATGTCGCCTGTGCACTTCTGAGAGGACTGTCAGCATGCGGTGAGAAAAAGTGAGACATAAATCACTTCAACTTGTGTTGGAATTAGATTGAAAGTCGGACCTCGGGCCCAGAGAAATTGCTGGGTCTTTAGGCACTCACCTGGGATTTCATGGTCTCTTGTGCTTTCTCCCCCATGACGCGATGACAGAACCTTTGTCTTGAGTGCTTTCTTGACCCTTTCATTATCTAGGGAGCAACTTCCACTCTGAAATGTGTGGTCCCAGTTTCAAAATACTATACAAGGGAGAAGACAAGGTCAAACAGGCCAGAGCCTATAACATGCCTACTGGACTAGCCACAAAGCCAGGGTGAGGGGAAGCCCAGGCAGCAGGGGCGGAGCACACGGCGTGGACAGGGCAGCGCTCAAAGGCAGTGTCTTCTTGGTGTGTTTCTGGAAAGAGGGTTATTCAGAGGAGCAGGAGTCTCCATCTCTAGACTCCTGGGAAAAAAGAAACTAATTTCAGCTCTTTGAGTCCAGTTCCCAGCTCCTGACCTGCAGGCTGACCTCCAAGGCACCCTTTGTGGCACTTAAGCAAAGCAGGACCAGCAGTTTCCTGGCTGGGTCCATGTAGTAACCTGAAGCCAGCGTCCTCCTGAAGTCTTCCCTCCTCAGACTCAGCGGGGCTGTCTACTGTGTGTGGGTGGGGTCTGCCAATCCCACAGTCGAGAGCACTGACCTGGGAGACCTCTTAGGAAGGGACTGTCTCCTTCCAACCAGAGGCCCCTTTAATGGCCATTCCGTGGACTCTTCCTAGAAGAGGAGGGCCTGCCAGCTTTCTTCCTAGAAGCTTCTGCACCCAGTCCCGAACGCTGGTTTAAAACACCTGCAAGGTACCACAGATGAGCTTGAAACGGAAGCTTCTTTTGTAGTAAAAACAGCCAGGTGGCCTTTGCACTTTCTTCCTCCCCGCTTTCTCGCCATGGTGAGGACAGCAGTTGTTCGCTCCTTTCAAACTCAGATCTTCAAAAGGATGATAGAGAGACAGTAAGCTAGCCAAAGTCTCAGAGTGGGTGCATCTTGTTCTGTGGTTTTAGCCCTGAATTCGCAACAAAGACCCGGGACCAAGTTCAGTGTCAGGTTTTGTCGGTAGCATGTCTCTGGGAAAAGCCGGCCCGCCAGGCTGCTCTCCAGCAGAGTCTGCTCCCAGCACGGAGTGCGCGCCTAGGCCCGCACACCAGGGACTTAGGGGACACACGGCTGCTGTGGATGAAGGCGGGCGTGTGTATTGCAGAAGCAGAGGCTTTTCGGTTTATTGGAGGGCGGGGCAGGAATGATGCTGTTTCCTTTTAGGAAACATCCAGGTTCTTTTGTAGCTGGGAATTTAGAGAAAAAATCAGAATCTTTAGAGGAAGCTGAAGAGATATTTTGGGACCAATACATGCCAGAGAGCCAGACTTTAAAAATGAGTATTGTTTGTAGCACACTGTCGTAGGGGGAGAGTGGTGCTTTTTCGTTTGGGAATCTTAATTGAGGTCTAAATTCAGAAACCTGACGCTGACAAAAAAGAACTTTGTCATCCTCGGTTATTATTTGGAAAACATCATGCTTTCTCTCTGGGGTTTGATTTACAGCTGGAAGAAACACAATTCCTCGAGTACAGTGGCCTAGGGCACTTCATTCCTTCCCATAAAGCAAAGGTCTCCGACAAAATATGTTTGATGCCATTCTTCCCGATCTACTTTTATCTCATTTTCAGTAACCGGAATAATTTGAGAGTGCTGAAAATAAACAACTCTGCCACTCACTATTGTGGTAGTCTCCTAATTTTTCTGGTATCTTGCCAGCTAATAAACAGAGAAGGTATGCTTTCAAATTCTGTGATTTTTTTTTTCATTACTTGATATTGACATACTGGCTATTGCTTTATGATTTAGCCTACTAACAATGATTGAGTTCACTCTTTCAACTCATACACATGACTTCTAATTTAAAATTCTTTTAATAACCTTAAACACATGAAAAACAAATAGAATGAGCTGATAATTCTGCACAGTAAAATGCACTGCACATATTTAGCTACCATGCTGTGGAATAACTCCACAATGTCAAGTAGCACACAATTAGTAAAACTGTAGGGGGAGAGAAAGGAGTGTTTTGATCCTGAAGAATTTTGATCCTAATCAGATTGAAATTTCATCGTTCTTATAGTGCTTAATATCTTCAATCACACACACACACACACACACACACACACACACACATACACACACCCCAAACCGATGCCAATGTCAGGTTTTGCATTCTGTGACCGAAAAAAAAATGCTAAAATATACAAATGCATCTCGCCCTGTACAATAAACATTAGCATCATTATAAAGTAAGATTGAGTCTAAAATTGTGTGATGGAATGTCCCATGTTTACCTAATTCTCTAACTAAAGCCAGCCCAGTAACAAAAGGACAGGGCATGTAATAAGTCTTGGTCGTGTAAACATTGTGAAAAAAAGGCAAAGAGCCAGCACAGCGCCTCCCTTGTCCACAGCCCCAGGCTGTTACCGAAGATGCCTCAACTGTGCCTTCTTGGCGGGTGTAGGTCATGGTGACATCAAATCAGCTCAAGAATAAGATAGAATTCTAAAACAAAGGCATGGTTAAAAAATAAACCACATTAACTATTTAGCTTTTCTTCCTAGAGCTATTGGCACAATTCCTGGTGCTGTCCATGAAAGACAGTTTTTAGCTGTCTGATGATATTTCTGATACTTTGATATCTGCCTTGTGCTCCAGTTTATGGATAAAATTTTGGAAAAAGACTCAGTAGACTGGTAACTCAGAACGCTATCTGTATCACATATATCTTTTTCCTAGCATAGGCATCTGCAAATTCTTAGGTGAACTTGTCTCTAGAATGAGAAAAGTAAAAGGAAATCTCAGCTGCACCAGCATTTGACAACTTTGATAAATTGAACCAAGAACTTTGGACCATGGACTCTCCCATTAGGTTAGCAGGAGACACCTGATAGTTCACTGCGTCTCAACATAAAGAATCACTAAAAATCACATTATCTATACCAACACGGTGAGTTAGTGAAATTATCCTGGTATTCTAAAACCAGAGGAGTTTTAGGTCCTCTTTTTTCACACTGTGAGCAAAATCCTCTTATGATTTTTTTCTTTTTTTCACCTCACGGAAGTCATTGTCCCATCTCATCGATTCTTTAGGCCAAATTGACCAAATCAACATGCCAAGGTTTGAATATTAAACCATTCATATCAGCAATTATTTGAGCATCTTTGCCTCTCACCCTCCAGTTCTCCATTGCTCAGGAGGTATCGACCGCGAGATGACTAGTCCTGTCTAGTCTTGTCACCTGGAGTCGCACTTTCCAGTTACCCAGAGCATCAATGTCACTCTTCGATGTGAACGGAACAGCACAGCCATCTACTACTCCACCTCTACCAGTTGCCTGGGAAATAGAAAAGCAAATCCCAAATGCTAAACCAGACAAGAAACTCTCCATGTACCTTTTCATCCAGCCTTTTGTCCACAGAAGATGTTGAATTTGTCTTGCCATAGCCCTAGGGTTCTTCCCTGGTCAAACCAACAACAACTCTCTAAAACCTGGAAAGAGCGGCCTGAAGGAAAACTTCCTCCAAGGCCCAGGGCTCTGGAGCTGTGGGACTTGAGAGAAAAGAAGCCAGAGAGTATGGGGCAGAGGCAGCTCTTCCTCCCTGGGCCCTGAGGGATGAGGAAACTGGAAGGGTTACTTCCGAATGGGAGAAGGACTTCCAGCTTGTCTATGTGACCGTGTAGAGTTAAGAAGCATGGTCTGCCCAATATATTTGGAGGTGTTAAAAAAATACAGTAGCCTAAGTATTTCTTTCTTAATTACTAAATTCTAAACTTCCTAACAAAACTAATGCACAGCTACCTGGCATAATGCTTTCCATGCTGTTTTGCATCAATAACCCCTACACTTTCCTCCTGAAGGCAGCTCATCACCAATGCAAGCCGACTGCTTAATGCAGGACTAATTAGTATATCCCCTTCCAGTCTGCAGGCCCTCCATTGTAATTCCTTCCCAGCTCATTTTTTTCCACAACGCAGCATCAATCAAAGTAAGTGCCCTGCCTGCCTAGGAAACACAAGATGTCCTCCATGCATTTGTCATCTGCCACACAAACAAAGGGGGGATTTAATTGTTGACTTGGGTCTGCTGCCATTGCACTCAGCAGCGGAAGCTGGGCGTGAAGGGAGAAGGGAAGAGATCAAGTTTGATGTGTGGGCTAAATCCAGAGAGCACAGGGGACCCTCTTCTATTTTCTAATCTTAGCAGTTTTCAGGTCTGACTCTTCAGGGATTTAGATGCAACCTAATCATTGGCTGGACTTTTTTCCCCAAAGCAAATGATTTTTCTGCTTCTCCCATATGAATATGAGCATTCCCATGAAAGGGAATGCGTGTAACAGCCACCATGTCCAACTTTTTTCAAAACCCAAGTTAGCCCATATCGTGTGCCTGTCCACAATAGAGACTGTCACACAGAGACAAAATAAAGCCAGGTTTTTAGGCAGGAGTGAATTAGTATTATTATTTTATGTATTTTCAGGGGGTGGGGTCAGGAAGGAGTGGAAAATGCTGATTGGGGCTTTTCAAGTTCAAGGACAGGCAAACTCAGAGGACAGAGACTAGCATGGGTCTAACCACCCACAGGCCAACTGTTCCTGCTGCAGTGCATTACAGAAATGCAGACATTCAGGCCTCTCCCAGGCTCCTGAATCGGAACCTGCAGTTAACAAGATCCCAGCTGACTCAATTTACGTTAAAGCTTAAGAAGTACTGACTATACTAGTATTTAGAAGGCATTACTTTACATGGAGGAAAAGTAAATACGAATCGACTAGGGATTTAAGGACTTTATTTTAAATTTA